TCCCCAGCCAGCCAGGGCTTTGTGGGGCTGGCTGGGGAATTCTGGGAGTTGAAGTCCACACCTCTTAAAGTTGCAAGGTTGAGAGACACTGTGTTAAAGACTAGGATTGGTGATTGTTTTCTCCCCACCCATCAAATGCTACCAGAGACTCATCAGTCGCTCTTGTTTCACGGCTGGGGCAAGGATGGGAAGGGAGGTGAGTTTTGACTGATGTTCTAACCATCTTTCCAAACTAGTTCTGGCTTTATGCAAGCCTTTTGCGTTCAAAGGGAGCGCAACGTCAACTGAACACAGGTTTAGCGCTCTTCTAGCAGAGCACTAAATCCACGCTTAAAAACAGCCCGAGTAGCAGCAGGATGTTGTGGCCATGATCTGGGAGAGAGACCGAGTTTACTTGCTCTGTCCAGCTTCATTGCCGTTGCCAATGCATTCAGGGACATGCAATTTCCAAGCTGGGATTGACTTGGGGACCTGGCCGGGGGGGGCGCATGGGGAGCCCAGGGGGACAGCCTGGTTTGTAAGAGCCGGGCTTTATCGCTGCTCAAAGCAAAATGTCCCAGAAGACAGCACTTTGGGATGGGAAGAGAGGGGAGCCCGCCTGAAGGGGCCAACGATGCGAGGCTAATTCCCCTGTCCCCCAGGGGTCCCCTGGCTGCAATGCCACCCAAAGGGTCAGGGAAGCGTATTGCTGTGGTTTAGCACAGTCCCTGGTCCTGAGTTCGAGATGCTGATTCCCCTGGGGATCTCTTAGTGGGATCCCTTTTCACTCCTATCCAAACCATTTTGAACAAGACTGACCCCACTTCTCCAACCAGCATGGGACTCTTAAGGGGCGATTTCCTCCTCCCTCCAAGGACTCTAAACCTCTCCTTATGAGCAGGGCGGAAAGAGAGATTGCCAGAGCATGTGTGTGCCGTCCTTAGGGGTAGGTGAGGGAAGGCCCAGAGACAAGTGAAAATACCAGGTTCTACCAAACCAAGTGATAATTGGTCCCAGTAGATGTGTGTACAGTTGTGCCAAATAGAGGATTCTGCCAATATTCATTTTCCCACTACTGATACTCTGCGATCAGAGACGTTGCACCTGTCATAACTCTTCTCTGCACCCCTGTTAAAGGCCCATGACATTTACTTTGGGACAGGAGCAGAAAAGAGTTGGCAAAACACCCCCCAACTTCCACCACCCCCTCCCTGGTCCTACTAATTGGGGAAACCAGAGACCTGGAGGCTCGCTTGGGGCACCCTCTGCAAACGGAAACCATGGGATCGTTCCTCCCTGGTTCTCACCCCAGCCCTTGCTGCACGCTTGGGAAAAAATCAGTTTCCAGATGAGGGGACCCATCCCAACGTGGTGTGACTTCCTTACCCATCAGCCTCCGTGTTCCAATGATTGCTGCTTGAAGTGAGAAAAACAGAATTAAAAGTGCAGGCTTGTGTCTCCTCTTTCACCCAAGCAAAAGAAAGGGACCATCGGTCCTTCACGTAGCAAAAGCACTAGGGACGCCTACAAGGAAGGGGCTTTTGAGGTCATCCAGCCCCCCCTCTCCTGCTCTGCCTTAAAATCCAGATTAACACATCCCAAAGAGAGGGCTGGCCAGCCTCTGCTTGAACACTTGCAATGAAGGAAGGACGCCTACCGCTTCTCTGGACCACGGAGAAAATTCAATATACTGCAGTATTTTTCTAAGAACAAACAAGAATGTCCAGAATGGTGGATATCTGGCCCTTACATTTTGCAGATCTCTTCTTCAATGAGCAAAGCAGGGAGAGGAAATTGGCTTAAGGTGGGAGGAATCATGTCTGATAATTATACGATCACAGTCTAACTCAGTGTTTCTCAACCTTGGCGGTTTGAAGATGTATGGACTTCAACTCCCAGAATTCCCCAGCCAGCCTTGCTTCTTCAAACCGCCAAGGTTGAGAAACACTGGAATAGCAGAAGGAGGTGTGAAGGGGAAAGGCCACAAGGTGGATTACACAAATCTGCTTTGTGCTCTACAGTTTCTGAGAACACGCCGGGGGTGCTGGGAAACACCCAGCAGTCAATCTGCTACGTTTAAAAATATAAAGTTTGCCAGTTTCGGGCCTCTGTAGGGTTCTGAAACCTTCTGCTGTCTTCTCCTCTGAACTGCATCACCCATTCTGCAAGACAGAAGTGTCTGCAAGATGAGGTCAAAAAAGTCAAGATGGCAGCTGCAGCAGTGCTATCAAAGCTCTGCCTTTTTATGGGCACGAAACCACCGTCACAACTGCCATGTTGACCTTCTTGGCCACGCAAACACGCTGACTGCTAAAAGAGGCTGAAACTGACTTGGAATCTACGGCTCACTCTATTTATTCATGATTTATTTATATGTCACATTTATATAGCCGCCCATCTCACACAAAGCGACCCTGGGTGGCGTACAACAATTAAATAAAAGCACAAATGGATAAACGCAATCATTATAAAAAGATAAAAAGCGATTCTTGAAATAAAAACATTATCAAACATTTTAAAGAGTTTAGATTTGAGCCATTGTCTTCACAGGTTGTGTAAACCATGATGTTAAGCCATAGTGTGATTTGTTTGGGCACATGTTATTGTACACCATCATCGGGTTTTGTGAAATGGGGTTCAGGGTCCAGCAGGTCGTGCAAATTCAACCCACCTACGGTCTCAGTGTGCTCTAAATCTTATCAGCCTGAACAGAGGCTTTTCTTATCAGGCTTTCTTTCTACCCTGCCTTAATACTTGCTTCAGTTTCAGGAAAACTCCAAAACCCAGCTCAGCTCTTCTGTGACATTTTGATTGGCCCTTACAGAGATATCGCCCAGCTGCGCATTTAGGCATTTTCTTATAGGCAACATATGTTCAACGAAGACCAAGACTGCAGTAGGTTACCAAACACCAAACAACATATGGTTAACCGAGAGGCTGAACAATTGTTATCTTTTAATGTAAAGGGATAGAAAAGAAAATTAACAGAGAACAAGCCATATTTATGAATGGAACAGAAGCTAAATCGTTGATTTATGCTATGCTAGAAAGGATACAGCTCCAGAGAAATACCAACCTGGATCAAATCATCTTTTCATATTGCCCAATTTGAGCCCAAGTGTCCAGGGGAGGGTCTATTGCTGGTCCAGACAAGCTTCTTGACTCCAAAGAAGTCCATCTCAAGGCAGGCTGATAGTTGATGGGCTCCAGTTGTGCAGTGGTGATCTTGTGATGGCTTCATTGCACAACACAGCTGAACCCAGTTCTCTGGTGCATGTCCATACGGCATCGTGACCAGAAGAGTCTTCCGATGGTTGGCTGACAATGACATGATCTGCCGTAACAGCTGCCTTCACACAACACAATTAATCATGTCAGCTAAAGACATAGCAGTTGACTTTGTAGAACACACTGACCCTTCATAGAGATTCTTCAGACCGTTTGGGTAGTTTATGGTTCCGCTGATTTATTATACAATATTTGTATGCCACCTAGGACTCAGGGTGGCTCCAATAGTAAAACGCATTGTCATACCTTTGAAATCATAAAAGCATTGTAGGACAGAAAATCATAAAAAGAAAATAAGCAACTCTAACCATCAAACCATGATCCCCAGGGCCATTACAGCATTCCTACCAACCCAGACTGGATGAAAAAGGGTGTTTTTTCCCTGCCTCCAGAACACGAGTAAGCATACAGGTAAGTTCACAGGGGGAAGGGAAGAGGGGAGACGGTGACCAAGATGGCAGTCAAAGCCACACCTTTTACCTGAAGGGGTGGGGTTTCAATCATGGGGTGGTGGCCACCATCACAGCCTTTCTGACTCACCTCCACGGACACCTAGAGAAATATAGAGAAATCCTTTCAGAAGAAGAGGATTCCAAAGGGTTGGGGCAGCCAAGGAGAAAGCCATGTTCTCATCCCCCAAATGCTCCAGGGGCAGGGGATCCCAAGCATACCTTCCCAACTGGAAGGGTCTATTTGGGAGAGGCAGTTGTACAAGAAATGGGGACCGGAGTCATGAAGGGTTTGATGGTAAGGATCTGCGTGTTGAATTGTACTCAGAAAGCCACTGCTAGCCAATGATGTTCCTGCAAGATGGGCATGAGTTGCTAAACTGGTCTCATGTGTTTCACCACAGCATTTTGGACCAGATCAGTTCCCAAATAGTGTTCAAAGGGAGCCCCAGCTGGAACGCACTGCAGTAATCCAACTGTGAGATGATGAAGGCAT